CATTTATATAGCGCCCTATATAATTTGTAAAATTACTCTAAGGAGCTTTACAACATATGGATAATAGTAATGGTTATAATTGTGAAAACAAACAACAAAGGCTTGCAATCACTTTCATACATTTAACAAGCAATGTGCACATAATTGAACAAATAAAAGGGTGGTATTTACATGACGTCTTTGCAAAGATTCTAAAATGTAGACGTGAAGAGGTGAGTTTTTATGTCCCTCTTGAACTTGGCCAGGGTATTCGACTTCCTAATAGCAGATGGTAAGCTATTCCACAACGTAGCCGAAACCCTCCCAAAGCATCTGTTTCCGTAGGTCACAGTACGAGATTTTGGGACACACAACAAAGATTCTGACTCCGACCGCAGTGATCTTGACGGCTGATACAGGGTAACAAGTTCCTGTAGGTACTGAGGAGCTGTTCCATTCAGTGCCTTGTATGTGTATACCAGAATTTTGTACTGCGACCTGTATCGTACAGGTAACCAGTGCAACGAATAAAGCGCAGGTGTGATGTGCTCTCTCTTTCGAGTACGAGTAACTAGCCGTGCTGCAGTGTTCTGAACCCTCTGCAGACGACTAGTTAGTTTGTCAGATATACCACAGAGCAGGGCGTTACCATAATCCAACCGAGAGGTAACAAGTGAATGCACCAAAATCTTGCATGAATCTGCAGTTAGAAACTGCCGAATACAGCCGATGTTCCTGATCTGGTAGTAACAGGATTTGGCAATAGCGTTCACTTGTTTCTCCATGTTCAGAGAACTGTCAAAGTACACCGCTAGGATTTTAACAGCTGGAACAGTCTCAATAGTTCTGGCACCAACCTTGAGCTGGAGAGTCATTGTTTGCTGACACCTTGGGGAAAAGACGATTAGTTCCGTCTGTTCCTGATTAAGTTTAAGCATATTGGCGTTCATCCAGATACTGATATCTGTCAAACTTGCTTCCAGACTTTCTGTGACTGTATTCCAACTGTCCTGTGGTTTTATGACCATGTAAATTTGTGTGTCATCAGCATAGCAATGATAGCGAAGGCTATGGCGACGACAAATCTCTCCAATCGGTTTGGAGTACATGCAATATTGGAATTGGAATAATAAAAGTAATAAAAAAACAAATTAAAAAGATAAATTTCAGCACATTCAATGCTGTTCAGAACGACTTGAATTACAAATTGCCGAATTTGCCCCTGTTTATCTTAGTAATTTGTATTCACTGTATTTAAAGCTGCATGTTTTCAGTTCCAGGTGCAGATGAAGCGACGGTACACCTTAACTACAGACATCTAATTCTTATACAACTGATATAATTTGTGTAACGGGATGTTGCCAGACAATAGCAGCAAAGGCAGAATTGCGTTTAATAAAGCTTAGCTTGATCCTGAAGTAGCCCACTGTTCGGGCGAAACCGTTAGAAGTTTCCTTATAAATACAATTTAACTCATCCCGAGCTTGTTGCGATTGACTTCTATACTAAGCTTAGATTTGCTGTCAAGCGTGACGTCATCAAAACATGGCGTCAAACATAACGCTGCAATAGTGTCTTCGTTATACTTAAAAAAATACAACGAATAGAAAGTTAATTAATTGAATACAGTAAACATTGTCTACATTTAACCCGCATGGCAGCGTATATCGAGCTTTTCAGTCGTGCTTCTCTTTCGTGATAGATATCGATATTTTGCCATGATTGTAAAACATTTAGTGGTATTAAATATTCAACGAAACGCAATAAAGAACAAGTATCCCTAATATTTTTCTTTCTTTTGTCATCTACTTAATTATGACGTAAATGCAATTTTAACAGAAAAAATCAGATTAATATTATGTTATTTTATGTTATTATGATGTTGTCCTTGGATCGCAGGAAATTGAATAATATCAAAAATTTACCGTACAATTGTTTATTTTTCTATAATAAACGCCCATTCTAAACCTTTTTTTTATCTTACGTGTTAAGCTATAAGCAACTATTAGATTTAACGAAGAAAACTGCATAGACAAAAAAAAATCACTTCATCAAGGAATGGCAAGTTTGATGTGCATTGGCACGGGAGTTACTTCCCTTGCACAGTTAAAATAAGTTTGTAAATTAGATTGAGGACGACGAATGGTTTATTTATTTCTTGTCGCTTCCGAATCCAGGGTATCAATATAGGACCTATAGCAGACCCGTGTGGACTCATGATGTAACATGCTTCCATTTAGAGCAGCTTAAGTTAATAACCATGCGTTGTGTTCTATCTCAACCGTGTAGTGCATTCCGTAAGGTTTTATTTTTTGAATTACAATCGATTGGGGTCCCTTTGTCCATCGCGATGGTCCATTTATTAAGAACAGTAAAGAGTTGAGGAGCTGTCGATCTGTCTGTGATGACAAAGCGTTACTGATATAAATCATTATGTTTATTACTAAAGAGTGAGTTGAATGTTATGTGATCAAGTAAGTGATTTCTAACGAGTCTTGGACATTATAATATCCAGTCATATTTCGTAGGTGTTTTAAAATTAGATTCCCAGTGTAATATCGGTATCTTTATAGCGTTTTCATATTTGTTTTTTTTCTGCTAAACAATAAAGATTCTACTGTATGTCTGACTAGTAAGCCCGTTTCTTGTTCCATAGCTTTAATGAAACTGTAATTCATATCTATTAACATGATATCTACGTTGCATTGGTACTTTATATAAATATACTACACATGTACTTTATTGACACTTGATTAATGCTTTATTCACAATACACTGACGCAGTATTGATACTACGATGACAGTTTACAGATATGGACATTGTCATTCCCTAACATTTAATTTAACATGTAGAAATACAATAGTAAGTTAATTATTTCGTAATAACGGTATAAAAAAAATGTATCCCTGTAACAAGAATTACCCTTAAAAAACATAATCACGTGGAGGTCGGTGATTTATAATATTCACTCAGTCTCACTATTTTTCGAAACACCAGGGCCTGTATTCATGAAACCGTTCTCATACTCAAGCACGGATTATGGGCTCAAAACAACTTTTTTTGAAGCTTACTTTGAAATCAAAAAGATCAAAAAGTTAAGAATAAAGATTGAAAACAGCATTTGGCTTTAAATCTTTTTTTTACTTTCCCAAATCATTGACAAAATAAGATTATATTATTAATTCCTAAACGGAACAAGAAATATGGCTTGAGCACACAACCATGCTTGAGCATGAGAACGGTGACGTCAAAATGCTTTCAGATAAATGCAGTACTTTCCTCGGTTCAATTTTCATACGTTTCATCTTTTCCTATGATTTAAATATTATTTATCATCTAATATAACTGTGTTTATATGAACCAGATACGATAAGTATCACTTTCTCAGGTCCTTATAACCACATATTCATCTCACCATAAATGATAAAGCTATGTACCTATGGCATTACTCGAAACTGATGAGAAAGGCGAATGTGCATTAACGAAATTAATCAATAATTTCTACACATTCTCTGAAACCGTGTTAATTGTTTAGCGGGAGGTAACTCAAAATGAATATAGCGTCATATCTATAGCATTCCTGTGTATTGCGTCACCCATTCAAATATCGGGCGGGATGTGATTATTGTATGTATATGTATGACATCGTTGTTATCACATAACCGTTAAGAGAGATAAAATAAGAAAAGAAATTGTTATACAGTACATGATATCACATTCCATACCGAGATGTGTTTAAAGACAAACGAACCAAACAGTACGATGATAGTTCGTTTCGGGTATAAGGCCAGGATTTTATCTTGTAGAAACTGTATATCGAAACAATTAAACACAGCCAAGCACTCATTCTGCTCTGTGTTAGTCAAACGACGCGTTTAGTACGGCAAAGGTCGCTGTCGAAAAAGAGAATGGCATAAAATGTTTTGCAAGCAAGGACGAGTTATGTCCCTCATATTGTAACGCAGGCGTAATGGTAGTGAAACTCCTATTTCCTTCAACCAGTTTTTATTAATTAATGTAATATTTGTAAATGACCAAAAGATGATAACAGCCTATATTTGTGCAAACATTTACAACGAAAATGGATGACTAATAGTGAATAATATTTGTACATGTATACATGTATCGAGCGGTATGTTATCATTTATCTTGAAAACCGTTAATATTATCATCTTCACTATTCAGAAATATATCTATACAGTAATTACATAAATAAATCTATACAGTAATTACATGTACTAGTGAATCAGGGAACTAGTTACACATACAATCTGCCGGCACACAAGTTCAGGTTCCAGTTCTTTATTACCTTGGGTCTTTTGAACCATCGGTTTCAAAAGTGAGATTTATTTACAATATTTACAGACAATACTATACAATACAATACAATACAATACAATGCATGCAAAATTTACAATAGTATACCAGCATACAAAGGGGATGACGATGCATAATGCCCGTAACTCAAGAGACAATTATTTTTCCATGTTTAATTGACACAAAAAAAACGTTCAATGATGACTTGGGGATCTTCCAGTGATGTCATATTAAATTGTATTTACATGGCAACGTTTCTAACCCTAAGCCGTAAGGACTTGATAGTCTTTGTTAACCGTTTTGTTGTATGAAATAAGTGTAAACTGAATAGATATTTGTCTCTGTGCACTACATCCAAATTTCGAATAAAAAAGAACTCTCGTGGAAGTCAATGTAACACAAGTGACGCACGAACATTGAACTTCTATATTTTATTCGGGATTTCCTGACATGACAATCCGCCTAACAAACACACTACTCGTAGTTTCGAGCATTGGAATAGTAAGTATATTTTGAACTTAATATTGATTTCTGCTGTAAAGATGTCGTCTTTCGCTTACTCTTTTACAGCCAGCTTTACACAGCTATTCCGTCTTTGCGTATTGCAGAGTTATCTTCGCTTGTGAGCAGTTATTGATTGTTACGTCATTGGTTTGTGTGAGAAAATAACGTTGTTTTCTCAAAAATTGACGTTATTCTCACAAGCAAATGACGTAACAAGCAATACCTGCGCAAAAGAGCAGATAACTCTGTAATACGAAAAGACGGAATATAAAATACGTCGCTGAACAATACATAACAATTATTACATAAATGTACATATATGCAAGCATGGTTCAATAATGAAATAACATATATTTAGGCCCAAAGCAACGGACACATATATTTGTTAAATCATCGTTTCTGATTGGTCACATTTAAAAACCATAAAACAAATGACTTATTCATTTGTTAGATCATCGTTTTTTATTGGTCGAATTTAATAACAATTAGATATGGCAGTGCGTAAAATCCATATCTTGTCAAAAATTGAATATATTACAAGCGACTTTGCATATTAAACCCCTTTTAAGTGAAATTATAAAGACCGATGAAGGTCGTGTTTGTTTGTTCGTGGGGTTTTTTGTTGCAAAAAGCACGAAAGCTAACGCGCATTTGTTACGTATATACCATGGAGCTGAAACAGGAAAACGAATCTCCCTCGTTGCTTTGATACGCATTAGGACTTGACTCTGTGTTTTGATAGGTCGTATGAAACCAAGTGTTGTTGTTATTTGATCAAGTTAATAGCATCATTTCTTCAAAGTGTCAATAAAAATCAGCTTGTTATCATAATCGATGTCCTTCATATCAATGCACATGGATCTCGCGCTCATCATTTCCTCGAACTCTTGACGTCTTTGTTCTGCCAGTAGCTTTTCTTTCTCCTCTTCTGTTGCGACATCAATTTTGTCATCGTCGTCGAAGTAATCTTCCTCTTCCTCTTCCTCTTCCTCTGGTAGATAATTGTCTGTTTCCAGTTCCAGACTGCTCTGACGCTGTCTGTTTTTCACGATTCTCGATATGTTTAAGGCGGACAGAAACAATATATACATAGCGATGCTCTCCCCTAGAAGTAAGTAGCAGAACCACATAGGGGTTAATGAGTCCATGAGGTATCCTAGAACAATAGGATTCACCATTGTACCGCTAGATGATGCAATCAAGAAAATCGAGGCGATTTTCCCCGTCACGGGAAGAAGTTCCGCCTCTGTCCATGTGAAAATAGTTGGGAATATAACAGACAGGGCGAATCCACCTAAGAATGCACAAACCCACACTCCGCCATCAAACTGACCCGTTGAAGTACAGTAGAGTCCTACGAAAGACAAAACCAACAGAGTGGAATATACAGTTATGATTCGTACAGGGTCGCACATTTTCACGAGGAAGATTCCAACAAATCGACCACCACCAAATGCTGCCCAGTACACCGATGTAGCGAATGATCCCTTGGCTTTCGTCCACTTCATTTGTTTTACACAAAACGTCGTCAAAAAACCTGCAAATGTGTCCTCGATAGCACTGTATGTACCAAGCAATAAGCTCATGTTGAACAAAATTAAGGCCTTTGTCGCCAGAGGGAGGATGCGAAGTAACTTGTCCTCGTCTGTTCGACCACTCGCCATTTCTAGTTTTGTTCTCTTCAGACGCATAACGATGAATGGTATGGAAGCTGTGAGACCCATAATAGATGTGATCGTGCAGGCTTTCCATAGCTGAGATGGTTCATCCGGCAGCTCTAACGGAAGTGCATTCGCTATGGTCGTCATTGCAGAGTTTAATACAGACGGCGCTGTGACCGTGGAGTTTTGCCATACAGGCGTTGCCGTGTTATGGATGAGTGAAGACATTGTCACATTAAACTGTTCTTTCTTTGCCAGAAATGTGAGACCGGAAGTAGATGAAGACAAATTTAGAAATGACGTAATGTTATACGTCATGGTTTCTATGGTTGTGTTTAAACGTTTTGTCGTAAATTCTAAAGCTGAACTCATGGTATCGTAGGAAAACGTATCATTACCAAGTAAACTGCGCTGTTTCCTTGACAACTGTTTCATCATCGTTAGATTTCGTATATCAGGATCGTCGACCAAAAATGGCGCCGTTGCCATTGGTGCTAGAATTCCTCCCATCGCGAATGAGAAATGAAGAGCTTGCATGAACGATCTCCCTTCGTCTCCCCATATATACACAGTCTCGGCATTACACACTGTAAATAGAAAATAACCATGTCTTACAATGAAACGTTTTTGTGAGATTTAATGTATTGTTTGTGATAAGTAAAAGCCAGATCAAGGGTGTGATAGACAATACATTTCATCTTATTCATTCTGTGTATTTAAATTAAATAAGAAATACAAACCTGCTGAAAAGAACTAAGCAATATGATTATAAGAGAGGTGTTAAAATCGACTGATATAATATAACTTATACAATGTATATCATGTATACAACGCCACAGGGACCTGCTACTATGTTACATTATAGTAGGTACAGTAGTGTGCTTGGACCTATCCTGATATGTAGAGAGTTGCTAGACGTGTTAAGCACCACTGTCCCACTGCACTGTGGATTGTCACATATACAGTGACCTCCCCTTAACTCCGTTTGACTATACATGTGTGTAACTGCAGCAGGCTACTTCCGTTGACCAGGACCCGTATTCATAAAACCGTTCTCATACTCAAACTGGGATTATGTGCTCTTTTTCGAAAACAAATTGAACAGACTAAAAACCGAATATCGTTTTAAATGGCTACACAGACTTATTGGCCGTATCATGTGATTAAAATGTGATAAAAGAAAGTTGCCTTGAGCACAGAATACATGAATACGGGCTCTGGTAGCTCAATCGGTTACAGCGGTTGTATTAAATCTGACATCCAGTGTTCGAAACCCAGTGTAGCTTCGCTGATATTTTCCCTTCCAGAACACTGTTGTTGATAATATTTTCTCCCTTTCATCTTTATCATTTTCTCATACTATTCGATAATATTTCATAATATAGCAAGGGTGGTTTTCTTTTGAGAACTAATTTATAAAAGCTATAGTCATGGCGGGGAACCAGTGTCCAACACTTAGTTACAGTATTCAACAGTTGTTCGGGGATCGTTGATGTACACAGCATTTGGTTAGTCTGTCACGTTAACCAAGTGTTGGCCTGCAATCACTCTCTACACACCAGGACAGGTCTACGCCACAGGGACCTGAAAACTTGTTCCAGCTATATTTGTACCTAAACTTAGGTGTTCAGAGTATACGTAAGTTTAGTTCGACCTTTGGTATATATGACTTTTTACCGAAAGTCGATCTAAACCCCTAAAACATGTAAAATTACTCTGAGCACCTTCGTTTAGGTCCAAATATAGCTGTAATAAGTTATCAGGTCCCTGTGCCGTGCACCACCGACTTCAAACAATACACGCACCTGCATCCAGTCCACCGCTGAAAAGACCTTTGACCCAGTGAGAGAACACCATCAGACCGTACGGAGAACACCACGGAATGATGGCGATCGTGACAGCGTTCCCTAGGACAGGATAGAACACCAGAAGGACCTTGTCCAGACTGTCAAACACAAGGCCACTGGTCAAGGAGCCGAGTAGGTACCCTACGGAGTGGGCAGTCATAAAGGCCGAACCCTCTCTCAGACTGGACCCCGTGATGACTTGCAGGTCTAGGAACGAAGGACCAAACTGACCAATTGTCCATCCCTAAAATAGATCAAACAATATGTAAATGACATTGTTACCCTGCATTATCATCGTTGGATTAAAAACCTGCAGTACTTTAATTCTCTGAATTATCTTATGTCATTTATTCTGCCAGTTTTGTCCAAAGAACACACCCAACATCATCGATTACGTATTCCCTGATACATGTATAGTCACCCATCATCGGTAATTCTGGATAATTCAGTGCATTGTTTCTATATATATGTTTTTAATTAAAAAGTGAAGATTTGACTCACCAGAACAGCTAGAACAAATTAAGCGACAAATACACAAATCGAAAGAACCGCCAGAATTGAAATAAATAAATAACAATAAATGCATGACTCACCAGAACAGAGAATGCCCAGAATATAGACAAAGTTTGAAAAAACTTGTTTCTGTATGTTAAATCATGTCTCATACGGCCGATGAACCCGCCATGCTGACCTTTACCCTTAGCTGACGTGTCCAATGAGCCTTGTCCGATGTAAGTGATCTCTCTACGATTGTCATTGTCTGCCCCCACAGGGCTTCGAGCGAATTCATCGTCCCGGGCTAGAGAGATAGACACGCTTCGCTGTTTGGGGATAGCTCCTAGTGATGAGGGGCCGAGCCCCACCTGTATAGATGTTTGTTTGATTGGAACTTTAATATCCAGTACCTCGACACTGCCCTTTGACCCCTGATAAGTACACGGTTTAATGGCTGGAGTAATGAGAGGACCTTTTGTTTTTTTCTTATGTTCTGGACTTAACTTATCGTCGATTCGAGGAGTTGTGGTGCGATTATTCATATTTCGTGTCGTTTAGTGCTGTCCTGAATATCTATAGAAAATACCCGCTTCTGTTATGTATTTATATGTATCCCTTATGTATCTATATTCTACAGTAAAACGTTATTCGCTGGAATCAGAAATTCCTTGAAGACATGCATATAGATCTGTATTTAAATACGTGTCTCAATTTGACGGTGTTTAGACTATTATTGGACGCTTTGCCACTTAGAATGTTGTATCTCCACGCTTCGTCACTTAGAATGTTGTATCTCGACGCACTTAGAATGTTGTATATCGACGCTTCGTCACTTAGAATGTTGTATCTCGACCACTTTGAATGTTGTATCTCGACGCTGCGTCCCTTAGAATGTTGTATCTCGACGCTGCGTCACTTATAATGTTGTATATCGACGCTTCGTCACTTATAATGTTGTATCTCGACGCTGCGTCACTTAGAATGTTGTATATCGACGCTGCGTCACTTATAATGTTGTATCTCGACGCTTCGTCACTTAGAATGTTGTGTCTCGACGCTTCGTCACTTAGACTGTTTTATCTCCACGCTGCGTCACTTAGAATGTTGTATCTCCACGCTGCGTCACTAAGAATGTTGTATCTCGACGCTTCGTCATTTATAATGTTGTATCTCGACGCTGCGTCACTTATAATGTTGTATCTCGACGCTTCGTCACTTAGAATGTTGTATCTCGACGCACTTAGAATGTTGTATCTCGACGCTTCGTCACTTAGAATGTTGTGTCTCGACGCTTCGTCACTTAGAATGTTTTATCTCCACGCTGCGTCACTTAGAATGTTGTATCTCCACGCTGCGTCACTAAGAATGTTGTATCTCGACGCTTCGTCATTTATAATGTTGTATCTCGACGCTTCGTCACTTATAATTTTGTATCTCTACACTTCGTCACTTATAAAGTTGTATCTCGACGCTTCGTCACTTATAATGTTGTATCTCGACGCTGCGTCACTTATAATGTTGTATCTCGACGCTTCGTCACTTATAATGTTGTATCTCTACACTTCGTCACTTATAATGTTGTATCTCGACGCTTCGTCACTTATAATGTTGTATCTCGACGCTGCGTCACTTAGAATGTTGTATCTCGACGCTGCGTCACTTAGAATGTTGTATCTCTACGCCTCGTCACTTAGAATGTGTTGTATCTCGACGCTTCGTCACTTAGACTGTTGTATCTGGACGTTGCGTCACTTAGAATGTTGTATCTCGACGTTTCGTCACTCAGAATGTTGTATCTCGACGTACTTAGAATGTTGTATCTCGACGTACTTAGAATGTTGTATCTCGACACTTCGTCACTTAGAATGTTGTATCTCGACGCTGCGTCAATTAGAATGTTGTATCTTGACGTTTCGTCACTTAGAATGTTGTGTCTCGACGTTTCGTCACTCAGAATGTTGTATCTCGACGCTTTGACACTATGTTTTGGGAAGACGTATCCCCATAATATAGTCGGTTTAGGCTGCCATTCATTCTGAGTTTCTGGAAAATGAAATCAAAACATATAGCATATACTGCAACCTGGTAATGCATGGCTACAATACATTTTGGTTTAAGACTAAACATGAGTGATTTGATCATAACCTACAGGATAATACGCTTTACATCATATATAGAAATACATTATATACATGAGCAATGTACATGTTTACGTCAAGTGCAATTATATTTCTAAACAAACAGGAGCACATCAACTTATGTAATAGTTTCTGTGTGAACGTATTGAACGATATGTCGAGGTACGTTGGAAGCACGGTCTCACTACAAACAGAACACAATACATCTCCAGTACGCATGCAGTCATACACCCATAGGGAGATATTAGCCAGGTGGCATATGACTAGTAGTTAGCGCCTGATAAGGCAGCTCCTGCGAATTCCTCAAAAAAGTGTATTTCCTGATTGTATTAATTGTATACCTATGAACTGTAAAGCGCTTTAGAGTGGTTTGTGTTAGCTAGATAGGGCACTATATCAAATGGTGTATATCATTATAACCCTAGCTGAAGATTCACGGCTGTATCCTGCTTGTTATGGTATAGGGGAGTCAAAGCTAACACTTTTGGTTTTAACGGACCATTGACAATTTAAGTGAATTAGAGCCAACCCTACCTCAGTTTTTGATATGTATTTTTTATCATAGAATATATAAATGGGTGAAACAAAATATAAAATACATCTATAGTTGACATCTCAGCTGTGGATTCATTTGACACTAGAATTGTAATCACAGAAATGTTATGTGTTAAACCTATAAACTGTGATATCAAGGCTGTTAAAACACCAATGGAGATTATAAGTGTGGCATTGGTTCATGGAACGTTCAATTAAAAATGTATGTATTGTTATAATAAAGGGGCTGTCAAAAGGCAAACAGTATTTACATGTAATATCAATAATTAGAAAGGTAGCAACGTATGTGTAATACTATCTATAAGGGGTCATTTATTTATAAATACGGCGTATGCAAATGTATTATGTTGAGTCTGGTTCCATTTGACGAAACCCCAAATCCTTCACAATTTGTCAATTTGCATCTAGAATAAGTTGAAACACATGAATATTCAGCAGAAATAAATGTATAAATACCGTGTAAACATAACACAAGGCTTTGCCCCGTTTTACCTCTTGTGCTATGTGTTTGATCTTCACTTATACAACCTTCCCGTTGCTTAGAAACCTCTACAGGTAAAAGCTTAATGCATTGAAGTTTTAGCTGTTCTAACAATATTAAACCGAAATAGCAAGGAGATATAATATCAAATATCATTATTTAAGCTTAGAAAAACATCTTACCTTCTGCAGTTTGTTCCGGACATACCACGACAGCTCGAGTGCATTTGTGTAGCGATCAATAACGGTTTCATCGATCACCAGCGGCCACAGTCCGATGACAGGTGATTGATTAGCACGTGACAATGATCGGCGTTTCCTACACTTAATGGGTTGATTGACACGTGAGATAAAAAAAATGAAAACAATGAGTATGGACTTTTTAAATCTATTGATTTTTTCTGATTCATGATGCATATAATTGTGCATACATGTACATATGTTAATCATAAAGCGCATCCGTTGTTTGCTTTATAGATTGAACATGTTACTTATACATAATGAAACCCAATGGCAAAATTAGTGTCTGATATTTAGCGATAAAATATTTCAAACTTAATTTCAAATATATCTTACAAGGCAAACAACATTATGTATCGAATGTTCAGACTCACCTGTCCCATTTTTAAGACAATACGAATACTTAACACAGAGATAACATCCTGCAGTATCATACTGAAAAGTCAGGTACAATGTACCAACAATATAACGATTAGAACGCAACGCGGGTACATACTGTACAGGTATCCTAAATCAAAAATAGATATGTTTGTACATTGATTGATTGATAGGTTTTACGTCCCCTTCAGTACCGAGTAATTCGGTTATCCAGCAGACGAATATGTTTGTAAATTTTCGGTAGAGCCCTTTATATTGTTAATGGGATTTATCCCGTCATTTGACTCATCTGGCGGAGATTTAAAGCTTGGTTGTTTTCGGATTATAATAAGTTAATAGAAACAGTTTTTACAAAAAAATACCCACACAAAAAAACACACAAAAACAAAAATCTAGTTTAAAATGCGAAGCGAACTCGCTCTATCTTATGCAATATGCCTTACACCTTTCAATAAGTTTATATGACCTCTAGCTGCAACACGAATAGCTGCGATGTCAGGTATCACTTGTGCGATACCCGTCTCGATATTGGAGCAGGTGACGTAACAAAACCGAAATGCTATCGAAAAACTCGAACGATTAAACTAAAGGTACCAGTAAGTAAAACACACATTTACGAGTTACCTCCCCTCGAACAATCATTATTTTCCCACTATGTGAGTTGTTTTTGATGCAAATAATACCTTTTTTTTAGTACCCCTTCATCTGTATATAGATCTATGGCTACATGTATGAGCACGCCTGTCGTTTATCTTCGTGCTTAAAATGTAGCAATTGATCCCAGATAAAATTTAAATAATATATATTTAATGTGCTCGTGCTATGTGCAAACAAACAGGTTTTCGCCAATGCCCTCCTGTTAAATGCGCGTTAAACATTAGTTTATCATCGAGTTACCATTCCGGATTGTGCAGTCTTGCCGTTTAAATGTGTGCTTGAAGTTACATGCCTTTTTCCGGAATCAACACTTTTCTGATTTCTGTCTATAAAACAACAAATAGCTCAAACAAGGTAAACCCGTAGAAAAGTTCGAATGCCTTTACGAAAGGAAAGATCATTAAAGCCTAATATCACAAACACTTGACAGGTCATAATTTATGTGCAGGTCCTCTGTTTTAATCCAGCAACTTAACTGGATTGCATTATTTTTTTCTATAGTACAGTTTATTACATTTTCAGTCGTGTACTTTGCATTTTCATCGAAATATTTGCAGTTGCCGATTGATTGCATCTGTTTGTTTATTATTGGTTAAAGTATTGGATATAGGGATATAGCAAGTTTCTGGTTACCCGAGACCATATCTATTTCTTAAGGGGAAACAAAGAAATGTCAGACTAGCTGCTGGGAACCAGAAAAGTGTTGTATCTTTAATAAAAAATCGATATTTCTCCCTGTTAAACCTGGCTGGGTCATTTCCGTGAGGAAAATTACGGAAATTCCCATGGGTGTTTGTCTGTACACAAAGACACTGCCGAGAAAGTGAGTTTGTAGGAGTATTTCAGTTTTCTGTTAAACACGGCTGATATACATAAATGTAGGTCGGGACGTCGCAGTCGGACGAAAATCGGGAATATTAATTCAATTTAACGTTTGTTTATTGTTTTGTTCTATTTGAGTGGACCTTTAAGTAAGACATGATTGTACAACGAGTATTTTATCGTCTTTTAAATCCATTTTCATTCTTTGTGTGGTTGGCAAAAAATAAGTGTTATTTTCACCCATTTTCATTTCTGTTGAGGACAATGGGAGAATAGATATGTAACTGGCTACCAATACATGCCAGCTTAGAAAAGAAATCGGTAGGGTAGACATTTCTATCAGAGTCGTGTCTGCTCGGCAGATTAAACCATCAGTTATCATAGACACCCGATACTTAAACACCCTACCATATTTTCTTCTAAAGGATCAATCGTGTTATTATGAGTTCAATTTCAATTTCAATACATTTTATTGTCAAACGACAAATGGATTGGGCAGCAGGCATGGCCTATTTAAGTCCTCTCCAAGCACAGTAAGAAACAGCGGTACAAGCATAGACTAAAGCATTAGAACACATACAAACACATAATAGGAAATAGGCGCTTCATATCAGAGACCGCACATAGTTCGGTAAACTTTGTAATGATAGTGTAGATCTCGGGCGCCTGCAGCGCCCCAGCTAAGGGCTTTAAGGTGGTAACAAAACGAACAGAATCCCTCCATAGGACTAAGGTGTTAGAATATTCTGACATGAAAAAGAAATAATTGGTGGTTATA